TATGACCATCTAATTTGGCTTTTTATTATCCTGTTTTGACATCCCATAGACGGATAGACTTATCATAACTACCAGAAGCTAATGTATTTCCATCAGGAGAGAAACAGACTGAGTAGACCCAACTACTATGACCATCTAATTTGGTTGTTTATTATCCTGTTTTGACATCCCATAGAAGGATAGAGTTATCATAGCCTAAATCTCTCCATTACCAAGACTTTATAGTATTTCCATCAGAAGAGAAATTAGCTATTACTACTATATCAATCTAATTTATTCAACTCATAGATTATCACGTTTTTCTATATACAATTTCACATTTATGCTCCATTCCAACGATTAAAAAAGCATTCTTTATCTTGATTTTTCCATAGCATTAATTAGTGAGACCAATCTTAAATCTAAACTAATTAGTGAAATATAGTAAAATCTTTTCTAGTTTATTTTTGACTTTTGTAAAATAATTCATCTTAATAAAGCCAAGTTAATTAAAATTTTATTTTTGATGACTTAATTTATCCATTTACATTAAAACTAAGGTAAAGTATCTTCCTATATTAATTAATAAACTAAATACTTGGGAACCAAATTAAGGACTCACACTAATTGAAAATTTAACTTTTGAATGGGTGTAATCAAACATAATCACTACGATAATTCTCGTGCTCCAGTCATCTGAGAAAAAGATTTTAGACTTTAGGGCAAGTGAAGAATACCAGAAGCAGGAGATTGAATAACATACCAAGCAGGTGTATAATATGGAGCTAGATTTTTTATTGTAAGAATGTTATAATTTCAAACTTTTTCTATATTTAAAAATAATGATATTAACGGCAATAAGAGATAATAATTTATAATGAAATTAGGATATTTCTTAAGTTAACAAATTAATAGTATGAGTTATTTTAGATTTAAGGTCTGGTAGGCAACTAATTTCTTAGAAGATAGACACTAAAATTATTAGCAAACTAATTTTATACAATTGTTAGGTTTATTAAAATATCAACAAAAAAATAAAAAGAGTTTAAAATATTCTTAAGAGTTGACATACTGGTAAATTTACTCTTAAAATGAAAATTAATAACGTTAATGTGTTACTTTATTGTTTCATTTAATAAATTAAAAATTAAAATTTCTGCT